GGCAGCCCAAAACATTGCGTCAGATTCAAGGAAACACTCAGTTTTAGAGCTAAGCCTTAGACTAGAAGGGGGAATTTGAGGTGCGTAAGCTGTTCTGATTCTCCCCGGAACTCATCCCTCCCCGGAGGCTAGCCTTAGGCTTAGTCCTAGTGCTCTCCCCACAGACTGCCCCACCCCCGAGGCACATTGCGCCGCGAAGTTTCGACAGAAATAAAACTCATGTTTTGGGGTTGTAATAAATAGTTGAATAGTACTCGTTTCATTATGAAAATCCTTCACGTTGACTTTTATGGTCTAACACCAACGAATAAAGTAATTGGTGATCTAGTTCAGAAGTACTCGGTGTTGTTTCATCTTTTTGTTCTTCGCGAAGTGTAAACTTTTTCAGATGACGATACAGTGGTTGGTTGTCTCCACCAACGATCACAAATACTCTGTCATTTCTTCGGCAAAGGTAACGAATGGTCAGATTTCTTGCGGTTCAAAAGTCAGGACTACCAACGATGCTGACGCTTCGATACTTTTTGTTGGCTCTTCACGCGATCAGTGCGTCCAGTATTATCGGGAATTGGCTAAGCATCCAACAATACAGTCAGAAAGCTTCGTGATCAAGACTGACAAGGAGCCACCTAGCGCAGTCCCCACAGCTGATGCTGTTATGAAGGAAAGGGGTGATGGCGCATCAATATCACCAGAGCTTCCTCGCGATGACGACAGCAACGGATTGCGGCCATCACATGGTAACTTCGTTGTAATCTTGTCATTTTTTTAAGTTCTTCGCTTCTTTTCGTTCATCTATTGTTGCCGGTGGTGAAGAGTGACGCGTATACATTTTGACTTGTACATCAGCTGGCACCGCAGTTAATTGGCTCCGTGACTTTTTCACACTTGAAGGCGTGGCCGCGGCAAAAGTGGATGAGAGGTAATGCTGACACTGTTGCGGGGGTCCACGGACTACTTGAACTCCTCCCTTTAAACCGCCTCTGCGCTCTCTCGCGGGTCCCTCTCCAAGGCTTAGTCCTAGGGCATTCACCCGTTCTAATCGTCTGTGCTCTAGCCATCGCGGCAGGACCATTGAGGAAAAATCAAGTAGTCCGTAAACCCTGGATGGCTGCCTCGAGGCCGCGTTCTAAGGGCGCCCGAGCTGCGCCGCAGCACTACCCGCTCCCACACTTTCAAGTGTGAGAAAAGTCACTGAGCCCAGTCAATTGTATAAACCAGATTTCCGAATGTTGCTGCGATTATCAATAGTTGTATAATGCGTGGCTCATTCTAAAAGGGATAGATCAAGGTTGATGGCTTTGTTCTTTTGACCCTCACTCATGCGAATCACACCGTCTCACTAGACGCGTTCTTGGAATTTGAAATGGAAAGTTGCTTTAAAACTTCAGCGAAGTAAGTTGATCGTTATCCAAAAAGAAAGAAGTATGTAAGGAAGTTTTAAATAAATGAACAGTCGAGATGTATAGACCTTCGCTCGCCATAGTGTATTAGGACGAAACCAACACTATAACATTCTACGTCCAAGTAGCGAATAGGGCTAACTAGAAACTACCAGGAGAACTTGCAAGTCGAACAATTTAAGCAACAACCCCAGATGGATTCATACTTTTGCTACTAGGGCTGCTTTCATAGTCTGCGCCGTTGCAGATGCCACGCGGACCAAAACGCTTATTAGGGTTTTTGACGTAACATCTCATTAGAGTCAGGGCAATATTGAAATCGAATAAAAATAGAAAGACTGAAAGTTCCACTTACATGGCTCATTGGATTCACTAGACGTTGAAAAAACACAGTCCTTGCGAGTCGAAGCTAGGGAAATCGAAGGTTCTGCTTCTATAAGTTCCTTGATATGTACCACCTTGTTTCTTTATTCCCTCAATGACGTTTTCAAGATGGCTGAATCGACAGCCAAATTCATCCTCTAGTCCACTAATGTTCGAGCCAACTCAGTGACCATGGAACGCGGAACGTTGATCGATGGATCTGAGAGAACAAAATGTAGCACAGGGCAATAAAATTTTTGGAGTTTTCAAAATTTTCAACAATTTTTCTACACAGCCGCTTTCTGGACTCGGTTTTTGCTTCTGACACCTCATATTTTCTCGACTAGGGCTCACGCATCTTTACACCCTATTAGGCTGCTTTCATGGTCTGCGGACCAGCGAGAGAGCGCAGAGGGGGTTTAAAGGGAGGAGTTCAAGTAGTCCGTGGACCCCGCAACAGTGTCAGCATTACCTCTCATCCACTTTTGCCGCGGCCACGCCTTCAAGTGTGAAAAAGTCACGGAGCCAATTAACTAC